GTAATCTCTTCTCTATTCACTACCCAGGAAGACTTTGCCACTTGTATCTGCTCTTCAAGTTGTCTCTCTCTTTCTTGGAACTCTCTCTCTCTTTCCTCAAGCTGTTGCTCTCTTTCTTGAAGCTGTCGTTGAAGATCCTGTTCTCTTTGCTGGCCACCTTCTACTTGCCTTTGAAGCTGTTGCTCTCTTTCTTGAGATTCTCTCTCTCTTGACTCAAGTTGATGCTGTGCTTGTTCAAGCTGCCTCTGAAAATCCTGTTCTCGCTCCCTGGCCTGTTGAATTTGTAGCTCTGATTCCCTCTCCTTTTCTTGAAGCTGTCGTTGAAGATCCTGTTCTCTTTGCTGGTTACCTTCTACTTGCCTTTGAAGCTGTCGCTCTCTTTCTTGAGATTCCCTAAGTTGCCTCTGTATATCCTGCTCTCGTTCTCTGGCTTGTCGAATTTCCCTCTCTCTTTCTTGTCCTTGTTGCTGTGCTTGTTGAAGTTGTTGTTCTCTTCCTTGAAGTTGTTGCTGTAGTCTGTTTCTAACTTGTTCCTTTTCTCTTCTCTCCTCCTGTAGTTCCCTTTCCCTTTCTTGTAGTACACGTGTCAGATGGTCTATTTCTCTTCTATCCTCAGGTTGAACAGGTTGAGATGCTTCCCATTCTCTTCTCCTTTCTTGTAGTTTCTCTTGATACTGGTCCAGAGGTATTATACTAGTAGACCAATCATTATTACTAGTATATCCTATACAGTAACACAATAGTTGAATTAATGACAAGTACATGTACATGTATAATAATAATATCAAATACTATTGTATTACCGTATACGGTATATATTTCGCGGGTATAAAATTTCGCGATTTGACTGCATTTTTCTATTCACGAATAAAAAATTCCACAATTTAATGTAATTACCACACCTACAATAGAATCAGGACGCTATTTTGTGAATTTTAATTTCGCGAAATTTTCCAAAACGCGAAAATCGCAAAAATTAATCCCCGCGAAATATATGCTGTATACGGTATGTAACTTACATTGTAATAAAAAATAAAGGCTATATACATGTACCATAGGACACCTTTTTTAGGGCTATAGATTTTGCAGTTTTAATTTTTGCAAATTTATGCCATCTGCCATCTTGTACCATATTTAATTTAATTTTTGCGGAAGTAATTTTTGTGAATTAAAAAAAATTGCAAAATCAACGAAATTTACAGCCCTTGAAAAAAGGTGCCCCATGATATACTGTTAGTTTATAATTATTATATTCCATATTTACAAATTGTGTATATTCAATACATTTGTATTTACATGTACTCACTGAGTTCAATAACTGCTGTATCTTTGTATGACGTGCTTCCTCCAAACACAATTATCCAGTTAGTGGTTGGAGTCACACTCCAAACTGAGAGAGAATGACGGCATCTATCAGTGACAATGTCTAGTACCTTTTTCTATCAAAAAAAATTATTTTGTGAAAGAATTAATGCTATTAGTAATTTTCTTGTGTATTATTTTGAATAAAAAAGATTCTATTCCTTAATACTGTACTGTGTATTATCTACAAACCACACCCACAAACTATAAGCCACACCCTAAACCAATATAGTGTTGTATTATTAATGTAAACCATTCTTTCAGTAATTATTAATTATTTACATTATACAGTATAACATACATAAGTACAATACTTGATTACTAGTACATAATAATAACCAGTTATGATGTATTGTTAATATATTATAATATACTTACCAGTTCCTTCCATGATTTATTGTTAATATTAAATATCCAAATATCAGAAGTAATAAATCCACCCACCACTAGTAGGTGTGGTCCTGAGCTAGTGTTAATCAATACGCTGGAATGACCCCATCTTTCCTTAGGCCATTGTACTAATCGTCTAGGAGTGGATAACTTTGAACAATTCTAAAATAATAATAATAATAATAATAATTTAATGATCATAAACCACACCCACACACTCAGTGTTATGAATAATAATACACACATACAATACATTATTAATTAATAATTAATGTAATTATATTAATAATACACTCACCACTGATGTATCAGTAAAATTAAGAATATATACATTGTTACTGAGTCCATTAGCAGTGCAACCTCCAAATAATATAGCACTGGAATTATTAATTGATGTTAAAGTGAATTGTTCAATAGGAGGTGGTCTGTCTCCAGTGACAGTCGGTGATATCCATTGTCCTAAAAATATCAATAATAATAATTAGTGTGAATGGAATGCATTGGGTAGAGCAAACTAGTTGATATTTCTTTGATTATATTATCAAATAAGTAGGTGATGAGAGTTCTACTATAATAATAATATTGACAATAATATTAATAATAATAATAATAATAATAATAATAAAGAATGCAAACATTGACAATACTTTTAATAATAATAATAATTTGAATAAAAAAAAATAATAATAATTAGGAGTCAAAACCATGAACAAACAAGGAAGCAATTCTCAATGCAACCAGTCTGAGTGGAGAACCACCAAATAATAATACTTCATTATATTAATATAAACTGTATGTGCTCTGACCTGTTGAGAGTTTATAGAAATGGATCTCGTTAGTCGTATATTACCACTGTACTGGGCACCAGGTTGTGGTGGGGTATTATTAAAAGATGGTCCAAATCCTCCAATTACTACAAGATAGTCCTCACCGTTCACTTTTATTGCTATCATGTCACAGTACCACTTCATCATAGGACCATGATGAGATGTAGTAGGAGAGAGTTCCTTCCAATTGAAGGTATTAACATTAATTAAAACTATATAAATAATAATATTTATCAGTAACTATCATGCTTACCTGTATAAACTATTATGACAACAGTCATCATGACCACAATAGCCTCCAAAATAAAATATTTCCCTTCCAATGGCAGCGGCTGCATAGTTCATTACACCCAGTGGAGGGTTACCAGTGGTAGGTTTCTGCTCCCACCTACCAGTCCTTAGGTGACACACCTCCATCACAGAACACATTGATTTCTTCTTTTCATTATTATGTACTTCAGGGAGATCAGGCCACTGCCTCCCACCCCACATGTACAGGTAGTCTCCTACCCGTACAGTGGAGTGATCTCTCCTCACCACTGGTTGATAGTCTATAGATAACAAGAGGTAACAGTAACTGAATGATACACTAATAGTAACAACACACGAGTCAAACTCATAATCAAGTATAAACAAAATACTGACCTGGTGCTTTGGCTGCCATTTTGTTTGGAGGTAACGTCCTTCTATGACGTCACAAAAATTTGTTACGTCATCATTATCAATGTGCAAAAAATTAATTCTTCAAGTGAATGTACAACACTACAACTGTTACAGTTATTATTACTTCAATTTCAAGTCAATGATAGAATGAATGAATTATAATACTGTACATGTAATTATGTACATGCATTAATTAACTGTATTCTATAGTTATGATGCATGCATGTAAATTAACAATTAATTCCTTGTTATTGTTGTTATTGTTGTTATTGTTATTATTATAATATTGTTCCTTCAGTGTCTTTATGTAGTATAATATCAACAGCAAGTACAGCCATTGTGGTAGACCTGATCACATCTCTACCCATTACATTCCTATCATTGGTTCCTCTGTATAACTGTATGTGACCATTAAGCAGTCTGTATCCACAATACTCAAGCATTGGACGAAGAGCAGGATCAGCCCATGCTCCTTTATCACAGAAACTGTGGAGACAGGACACAGCTGGAGTGCATTTAAACTGTACATGTATTGAGGAATATAGTAATAGAGTATTATTAGTTATTATTAGTATGCTCTACTTGTCTTAGTAGCTTTTGTCTTTGTCTTGATGATAGAGCTACTGCTTTAGTTAACATATCAACATTGAAACCTGATAATAACCTACTCTTGTTGCCTCTCTTTGTCTTGTATGACGAGTTTTAGCTCAAGTTGTGTGGGCATTAGCTCAAGGTGTAACTTAATTGTGTGGGCGTTAGCTGCTCAAGGTGTGCACGATATTGAATTTTGATGAAGATCTTTTTAAAAATTTTTTTTTAATTTTCAAAAAATACAAAACACAATAGAGTAGTCAAAATATCACACAAAACTAAATTAAACTAATAATTAATTAGTGCAAAACTAATTCACTACTTCACTCAAGTTTTTCTTTTATTTCTTTTATAATGTCAGACATTGTTGGACGATCTTTGTAGATCTCTATCAGACAACGTTCAATGAGATTCTTCAATGTCGGCCTCTTGATAGCTTTAATCTGAGCCACTCTCTTTCCTACGTCTGGAAACTGGCAAACGACCATCTCTATAAGGAGGACACCATAACTGAAGACATCCATTGCAGGAGAATGTTCCCTTGGATTCCCTGCT